ATTTAATCTATTAAATAACAGCAGAGTGAGCGAGTTTTTGGATATGGTAAGATTAAACTTATTTTAGTGAATAAAGTACCACATTTCAGCTATCATTTTGTTAGGGTGGGTAACGTTACACAAAATGTTATTTTATCCTTGCTTCTAGAAAATCCTCAATCTATATGCTTTCTAACAGCTTCATGTGGCCGTAAACATTTAATTTTAACATGGCTTTAAGCACTATGCATTGTTAAAAGTTTCACTTTCACCGTGACTAAGCCGCTAAATGTGGTGTTTACATGGATGAATTTACCGTACGGTACGAACCCAGAGTCTCCGCATCAAGTAAGTGAAAAGACGAGCATCTTCCATCTGAACACTTGTGTTGCATTTCGGGGAAAAGCAAAAAACATTGTCGAACTACAATATAAAATGCAGGAAACTATTAATTCTACAGTTAATTGTACTATATACTACGACTGGAAAATACTGTAAATTGATAAACTGTTTGGTGTGATGACGTTTAATGTCTCCGACAGTGCCTGTAGTCCCATTTAGCAACTTGTTAGCAACCGTCTTTTTTAAGAAATGTAACAGTTTTAAAAAATCACGAGTGGGGTGTAACTGGTATCTTTTATGTCGCAGAATAAAATGTGAAAGTATCTTGACCTTGTGTGAACCACGGACCTTATTTCAGGGGATTTAATCAAACTCCCATTCAAAAAACCCATTGACTCTGGGACGATGGAACCGGAAGTGCTAAAATGCTAACTCGCTTCCGGGTTTCTCCGGGCCTACAAAGTGATGTCAGAGTTCCACCACTCTATTGTGATGTCTATTCTAAGCCATTATATAGTGATTCACAATTTATCCAGAATATGCATATCTACTTTAATGGGAATGGATTTAAAAGCAAAACAAGAGAGGGTTTACTGTAAACAGCTAAAGCACAGCACACTAATTAAAGTAAAAAATATTTCAAATAAGAAAAAAATATCTATAGTCACACTCACAAATCAACTAGGCATCGACACCTAACTAAAATGCACATACATGTGTGTATAAACACATATTCAAACATTTTAGAAAAGGCAACATCTTGAGGATGACCAGGCAGTCAATGCAAACACTTGCACACATATTCATGACCAAATAAGCTGGATGTTTATGTGCAATAGTGATATCCAATGTCTGACTCAATGGTCATGGTCTGCAAAGGCATCCTCCCTCTATGTTCTAAACAACAATGGCATCTATTCACGCGTGATTTTGTTACCACATATTTGTCATTATGCAACAGAAGCTTGAGCTCCAAGATGTTTGCCTGAGGTTATGGATTATAATGTTGTAAATAATGTTCAGATTCTTGCACAGACTGATCGTTTCACTTCATATATTGCCAGTGGCCACAAATATAAATTTTGTGCTTCCTATATTGGCTTTTTTGACTCTTAAAGCGACGGCACCTGCAGACTTACATATTATGAATAACCAAGGACCATGGTTTCACCTAAAAATCATCTTTAGTGTTCTATGAAGAAAGAAAGCCATCATCTTCAATGGCCAGAAAACTTTCATTTTTGGGTGAACTATTTAGATGAACTAGTGAATAAAATGCAATAATCAGCTATTTGCTTTAGCACATATGCTTTGTTTGACATAACATATCAGCATAATATACACTAAGTTGTTAGAAATATGTATAGGTGACGTAGTCAAGTGATGACGTAAAAGAACCAAAGAAGCTTTTTTTAATGGGTTTGATGAAACGAACCATCCGAAGGAACCGGTTCACGGAAAAGAATCGGTCTTGCAAAACACACACATCCATACATAATCCAGTGACTTAAAGCTTATAAACTTCATAAATGGCAGTAGCCCACTGTGCAGGCATTTACAAGAATAAAATCCAAAATTCACTTTAGAAGTCCTTAAAATCCCCACCCACCTCCACACTGGATTTACCAGGAGTCTGCTGTCAGTCAGAGCACCGGGTTTATATACAGACGAGATGAGGGGAACAAGCAAACCATCCTATTAACCGTGATGAAGTAATAAACTGTTACTTATTGGAATCATCTGACATTGTGTACCACCACCACTTACGTCTGTCAGAGAGATCATTCTGTCACTTCTAATGAATAGCGAAACTCGGCCTTGGTTATTTCAAATGCACATACACACACAAAAGTCCCTGGGATGCTTTTTCAGACCATGTAACATGACAATGCAGTGTAAAGACAGCTCGGGTCTCTGAGGAATACATCTTACTGCATCATGATGCATTGTCCCTGCAATCTTTACATACTGTAATTGTGGACTGCTCAAAGCAAATCACCGCACAGCAGCAATTACATGGTGCACAGCAGCAAACCTGCATTCAATCTAAACTCTGGTCAATATGATGAGGCAGCTAAAACTGCAACCACACTGCCATTACAGCCCAGACTGATTCAGACTTCTAGATTCTGTCGAGCTTGAATTAGTAGAGCAGGAGTTGAAAGCAAGGACATAGAGGGATGCTCAATTATGCATTAAGAAAAGTGTCTAAAAGATGGTCCAGCCTGAGTCCCAGTGACAGCATATCAGTCGTAATGGAGACCAGCCTACTTCACAGGCTGTGGGATACTGGACTGTAGGATGCCATAACACATGTCATCAAGGATTCTAATTAATGTGACTAAATAATGCAACATGCAATGCATTGCCCAGGTTAGAAGATGATGAACAGATAGATAAAATGCGCCATGCAGGGACTGATGATGGACCTGAGATGTTGATGGGAGGTGTAGGTATGTCGATTAGAGGTGGAAGCGACACTACACCTGCTCAAGTTATTCAGCTTTATGCATTAAACAATGCCATCAATTATATAAGTGTAGCTATAGTACAAATGCATATTTTCTGCACAGTTAAACACTGCAATGAAGAAAGGCAGATGGAATGAGCTTTAAAGCAGGCATCGACAGAAATGCAAACCGCTTCTCCGCTTGTGCACTGACCACCTCGTCTATTACAGCTCAGTTTTGAAAATGACTGAAGGAGAGATGCACGAAATCTGCCGATAAATGACAAGCAGCGATGCGCGCGCCAGATGTTAGCAACGCTTCATTGGAGCTGCGCGAAATCACCAGTACTTACCGCAAAACCGCCGAAATGCAAATTATTCGCAGAGATCGATAAATCCATTTGAATCACTGGATAACATTCTTTCCAAATGTGTTTTCACGCGATGAACGGGCGGCTCCGGCTGGGTCTCGCGCGCTTCCATGGGCAAGAGGGTCAGAGCGCGTGACGCAGCCGCTCCACATAGAGAGACGCTGTTTCAGGGCATTTAAATGTGTTGCCATGTAGTCGAACAGGAGTTGATTCAAAAATATGGAGTTCCCATCGAAGTACGTAAAAAGGACGGTTACGGAGCGAAAACAACAAGCCCTAAATGGTCACATGAGTGACCATCTGCTTATAGTGCGCATAAACGCCCACAAATTGGTTACTTTGAATTGCTTGATATATGTGTTCAGTCTTCTATTGGTTGGATTTATGAGTATTCGGGTTTAACAAAGTCCACATAACTTTGGGGACAATAAATATTTTGTATGATAATAAAAACGATTTTCTTGAGGCTTTTTTTTCTCGAAATGAACATTAGACAACATTGCCATCGTGTGGATAAAAGGGCATCTCCCATTGGGAGTGATCTAAGTGCTTCTGTCAGATGATATAACATCTTTCACTGCCCGATCAAATATTAGCCTGTATTATATAAAGCTGTATCTGTAAATAAATAATAATAAAAAACTAGGCTTCGCAATTAGTTTAGCTATTTAATTAACACAAAAGGCAGTCTAGAAAAAAAGAGAAACATTTCCCACACATTACGTGATAACAGTTAAAGAGGTGCAGGGTAAGCAAAATACCGGTTCTGCCAGATGGAGCACCAAAGCTTTTTGAGCTCAGTTCCGGACTCCTTCTGCTTTACCCATCAGGTGCTTGGACCTCATCTTTTAGCTTAAAGGAGCGCCTCTTCTCATGTTCTGCCAACTAGTCACACACACTGAGTCTTGGACCTGTTAGAAGCCAGCCAAAGTCCAGCATTCAGGGCTGTTATGAGAACCTGTGGGACTATTAGTGTTTTTCAGGCGTCTCGTCGGTCACACTGTCCATACCTTGCATTTCAAGTCCATCTTAGTCTATCCAAAAGGGCAGTGGATCCCGGCAGTATTATGCATACAAAATTATGCACTGTTGTAAAATTGAACAGGTACTCCTGTTTCTTATCTCCTCTGGTTTCTTCAAATGCTATAGTGATTTATAGTAAACACTATAGTGTTTTTGAACCATACTATAGTAAAGTGCATTATACTGTATATATTATAGTATTTACAACACTTTGTTAATGAATGCTACAGCATACTGTAGCATTAACTATAGTTAACTGATAAACTGTAATAAATACTGTAGTATACTTTAGTTTTTACTACAGAAAACTGTAGTGTATTGTAGTATAATATACCCTATAGTTGTAGAAAACTTTTTTCAACTTTTTTTCACAAAAAAAAAGATTTGTATTTCAACATCAAGGATTAGGATCGTGTGACAGGGAAGACTGGAATACTGGCTGCTGAAAATTCAGCTTTGCTATCACAGGAGTAAATGACATCTTAAAATATATTAAAGTAGAATAGTTATTTCAAACTGTAATCATATTTCACAATATTACTGTTTTTGTTTTTAATCATATAAATGCAGCCTTGTTGACTTATTTTAAAAACAAAGTGTATGTCTTTTCATATTACATTAAGAAATATTATTACTGTTGTTGTTTTTGATTATTATATTCTCTTATCTATTCATTATTATTTAGCATCAAAATGTTTGCCTCTTTTTGAAACGTTTGTACACCTAAAAGTCTGAAACGTAGAAGGCATTTTAAATAAAAATTGAAAATCTGTAGAGATAACAGTGCATTCAACCTGTGAAACAATGACTACAAACAGCAAGTATTTTATGCACATGCAAATTTATTCAGTCATCATTTATAGATAGGAACTGACAGCAAGTGTAAACATTGTTTTCAGAAGGAAGAAACATTAAATTATACAGCGTAGAACACCAAAACAGCTGAATCTCTGGTTATTATTTACTATCACATCAAAACTAACAACAACAGACATTCACAATCGCGAACTCCCTAAACCCCCTTCCTGTTCTCAAAGTTCTCACTTCATATAATCATTTACTGTAAGGTAACCTTCTTGTGTGCTCATCATGCGCTCAACTAGCTAACTACTGGGCTGTAAGAACACTCAAAAGTGTTCAAACAAGAGACTTACTGTAATGTATAAACCAGCCATGGAAAGTGTAGTAAGAGTTTGCAGCTTACACATTTTGTCATATCCATTGACAATGTGAGGTGAGAAACAGCTGTTTAACGTGGCATAGGTATATCCTATCTGTCTATGTGTGTGCTATCTTTAGTTTTCTTAAGGTTTTGGCACATTATTGCGCCATGATCACCAATGTGCAAGTGAAGAATGAATAGTATGAAAATCAGCTCCTTGGTATCAATGCTTCATGCATCCAAGATGTATTTTGTGGTGCATATACCCTGTAGATTTCATTTAGGGACTTACAAATATTCCTTCCTTCTAGGGGTATAGTTATCCTGATCACAAGCACCATAGATATGTGAGCATAACACAAACAAGTCATTTAGATAAAGATGCAAAATGAGAACAATCAGATGACTAAAAAGTGTTTTTGCATAAAGCAGAGTGGGTGGTTGATTCAAAGGAGCTAGTGGATACGAGAGAACAACAATTCATGAAGAAGGGTTTTAGCTAGGGGACATCATTTTTATTCCAGTTCCTCCTCTGGTGCAATGGTGCTGGTCTGCTCAGAGGTAATACCTAAAATATCAAAGGCACACAAGTTAGTTTTACAATTATAGAAATAATTTGACATGCTTTAAGAATTTCATACCAAGCAACACTGCAGCTGCCTCCTAGTGTACGTGGTTAACGATGCAACACAAAACTCAAACCACTCATGATGTTATAATAAAAAAACAGGAAGTCTCACTTGAAGCATCATCATCATTGAGAGATTTATTCTCTTCCTCAACATAACCAAAACTTAAAAGTTTGGACATGTTCACTGGAGCTGCCCCCTTCTTCTCATGGGAACTGTAGAGACAATTATCAAATACTTATACACTAAATACATTTCAGGAATTTAATAATTGTTTTTATTGTGAATCTGGAAAATAATGTAGAGGCTAAAAATTTAAAAAGAGACATACATCTTTTTGAACTTGTTGGCTTCCACAATCTCTTTTTGGCTTAGGGAGAGCTTCTGCATCTCCGATGCAGCATGAATTACATTCTGTGTAAGGAAATAAGATGTTTATAATTTTAGGATTTAACAAAATGATCCACAATTTAATATAATGGTATAAAATGCTACTAATGAAACTTTTTATTAATTTTTATTATTTTGATTAATTCAAAATTCACAATGAATAATTCCAGATGACTAAAAAGTGTTTTTGCATAAAGCAGAGTGGGTGGTTGATTCAAAGGAGCTAGTGGATACGAGAGAACAACAATTCATGAAGAAGGGTTTTAGCTAGGGGACATCATTTTTATTCCAGTTCCTCCTCTGGTGCAATGGTGCTGGTCTGCTCAGAGGTAATACCTAAAATATCAAAGGCACACAAGTTAGTTTTACAATTATAGAAATAATTTGACATGCTTTAAGAATTTCATACCAAGCAACACTGCAGCTGCCTCCTAGTGTACGTGGTTAACGATGCAACACAAAACTCAAACCACTCATGATGTTATAATAAAAAAACAGGAAGTCTCACTTGAAGCATCATCATCATTGAGAGATTTATTCTCTTCCTCAACATAACCAAAACTTAAAAGTTTGGACATGTTCACTGGAGCTGCCCCCTTCTTCTCATGGGAACTGTAGAGACAATTATCAAATACTTATACACTAAATACATTTCAGGAATTTAATAATTGTTTTTATTGTGAATCTGGAAAATAATGTAGAGGCTAAAAATTTAAAAAGAGACATACATCTTTTTGAACTTGTTGGCTTCCACAATCTCTTTTTGGCTTAGGGAGAGCTTCTGCATCTCCGATGCAGCATGAATTACATTCTGTGTAAGGAAATAAGATGTTTATAATTTTAGGATTGAACAAAATGATCCACAATTTAATATAATGGTATAAAATGCTACTAATTAAACTTTCTTTACATGCGATTAATTCAAAATTCACAATGAATAATTCCAACCAGCAATAAAAAATAAATGTCACAAATGCATCATTAATACAAAGAAAGATGAGAAGCATGAAGGCAGAATAATAAATGACTAATAATGCAGTAAGATGATTCAGTTTCCGGAGTAAAAGATGAAAATGATAGGGAACGAAGTGAGAACCCCAGATCTAATGTTACAGGGTACAGAGCCATAGCAACAGTCATTTGAGTCAGTGTTCTAAAAGAACTAGTTCTTTATAGTTAAATTTCAAACTGGTTTTTACATTTAAAAGTCTTTGTTCAGTAACCTTAGTACTTTAAAGTATCTGCTTTCAAAGTATGCAACCCTAACTTGACTACAGCAAATTAGTATTTTGTCTTTACAACTAAATAGCCACATAGCAAACAATTTGATCAAATTTGTATGCCTAAAGAGTCACCATGAAAACACAGAAGATACACTATATGGACTACACTATTGGGACACCCCTTCTAATGAACAGGTTTGACTACTTTAGTCATTTCCATGAGTACAAACCTTAATGGTAAAGCATATAATGATATTCTACGGAATTGTGTGCTTCTAATTTTATAGCAACAGTTTGGACAGGAACCTTTTCGATTCTAACATGACAATGCATCTGTGTATAAGGCAAGGTTCAAAAAGAAATGATTGATTCAGTCAGTGTGGAAGAACTTGACTGGTCTGCAGAAAGCAAAGTCCTAATCCCAGCTGAACACTTCTGGTGTGACTTTAATTGCAGACCTTGAGCCAAAAACTATTCCATCTATAGCACACCTGTACATACAATTTATTCTTTTTTTTTGTGGTTTATATTTATGCATGTGTATTTTATTCACATCTCACTTTTATTATCTGTGTGTTGTTGTTGTCTCCGTGTACTGGAAGCTTGTGACACTATAACAAATTCCTTGTATGTGCAAACATACTTGGCAATAAAGCTCTTTCTGATTCTGATTCTGATTCTGAAAAACCAAACACCAAAGACTTGTGCTGGGTACACACCACAAGATAATCAGGCTGATTTTGGGCCGATTTCTCCCCTTCCGACAATCCTAGGTAATGTCCCGATTATCTTGGTGGTTCTAAAGATTATCTTATCAGATTTTCCTGTGGTGTGAGGTGTGTTAAGAGTGACTGAATCTGCTCGGAAGAAAGTCGGAGGCGCCCCGATCGCGAATCGTAAATATTCAACATGTTGAATATTTACGATCAGAAATCCTGATGTGTGGGGGGAACATCACGGCCCACCACACACTATAGGAGCAAAAAGCATGTTTGTGGTCTCTCACATTTTGAAGATCTTATAAGATTTTACAAATCTTTTAGTGTGTACCCAGCATTATACATATGGGTAGAGTCATTTTAGACACTTCCAAAGCTGTTGCAACAGAGATGCAAATACAATTTTTAAATACATGAATCTATGTTTCCATCTATGTTGCCACAGTTTTGGAAGTGCCTTTTTCTGTTCTAAAGAAGGGGTGTCCCAATACTTTTGTCCATATGTGACCCTGGACCACAAAAGCAGTCTTAAGTAGCACGGGCATATTTGTAGCAATAGCCAACAATACATTGTATGGGTCAAAATTAGCGATTTTTATTTTATGCCAAAAAACATTAGGATATTAAGTAAAGATCGGGTTCCATGAAGACATTTTTTAAATGTCCTACCGTAAATATATCGAAACTTCATTTTTGATTAGTAATATGCATTGCTAAGAACTTAATTTGGACAACTTTAAAAGCGATTTTCTCAATATTTTGATTTTTTTGCACCCTCAGATTCCAGATTTTCAAATAGTTGTATCTCAGCCAAATTTTGTCCTAACATCCTAACATTAACATCCTTATTTATTCAGCTTTCATGATGTATAAATCTAAAAAAAAATGACCCTTATGACTGGTTTTGTGGTCCAGGGTCACATATAGTGTATCTTGTGAAAGTCCTATATATAGTCCTATGGGAGAACATGGTCTGACCATATCTTTATCCAAAGTCTTCATGTCAACCATTAAGAAAATAAAAAGCAGAATCACAACAATGGAAAACAAAAACAACAGCATGCAGCTTGGAGTTTTTACTCAAATGATTCAAGTGAAGATTTCTTCACTAATATGGTTTTGCAGGTGCATGGCAAGAAAGAAAGATGGCAACTGAAAGATTGTTTGTAATATGGCAGCAGGAGGAAGTTATGGGAGGGTTAAATAAGTGATGGCTATCACTGTCTTTGCTGATCCATTCACCTTTTTACCAGAATCCCAGGCTGAACAGTTATCAGTTCCAAAAGGGGCTTCCAGGTGCTGTAAGACCTCTTTAGACTTGCTGTTTCCATCAGGGGTAGTTGCTTCACTGCTGCTGTAAGCATAAGATGCCATGATTGAACCCCAGTTTCACACCACCATACTGGATGAATTGGGGTGGAACCCTTTTTCTCTACACAACCCTATAATTCTTCTGAGAGAAGAATGTAGGTCCTTCATGTCACCCTATTGAACTGCTTGAACATTCCATGCTGAAGGAAAAGTTCATCCAAAAATGAAGCATTTCTAAAATATTTACTATCCTCACACCATCCAAGATGAAGATGTTTTTCTTTGTTTGTTAGAGAAATTTAGCATTACATCATTTGCGCACCGATGGATCCTCTGCAGTGAATGGGTGCCGTCAGAATGAGAGTCCAAACAGCTGATAAAAGCATAACAAGAATCAATAATCGACATGTCTCGAGATCATCAATTAACATCTTGTTAAGAGAAAAGCTGCGGGTTTGTAATAAACAAATCTATCATTAAGAAGTTTTAACTTTTAACCCCTTTAAACCGTCGCCTCTAGCCTAAAATAAAGTCTATAATCCTTAATGATGCTTTCTCTAATGAAAAAGTCTGTCGCCCGGTGTCCTCTCACATTAAAATCCACCAAGATATTTGTTTAGAACTGTTTGGGGCTGTTTTCACTAGGGATGCACCGATACCACTTTTTCCAGTACTCGCCCTTATTTTTGGTACTTGTCGATACAGAGTACTGATACTAGGGCTGCACGATAAATCGAAATGGAATCGAGATCGCCACATGCTTTCAGATGGAGCAGCATTTACTTCACAGAGCCGTAGTTCACTGAGAAGCTATGCAAACAGCTGTCATTATCGCAAACTATTTCTTCAATTTCAGAATCGCGCAATAAAATTGTCTGCGATTTTTTAGCGTAACTTGTCAGTGAACTACGGCTATCTGTAGTAAATGCTGCTCCATCTGAAAGCACGTGATGATGATTTCCTACAGAACCGGCATTACTAACAAATTGCGCATGACAATCGAATTCGATTAATCGTGCAGCCCTAACTGATACCAATATCTTTATTGCATTTGTACATTTTTTAAATATTGGGTACAGAAACCAAAAGAGTATGTATAATGTTAGTTGGTTAACTTCATTTATCAAATAGATACAGTCAAACCAAAATTTATTCAGACACCTTCAACATTTCTCACATTATCACAGTTTATTCGCTATAGTTTAGAAAATGGTAATAAAATATGACAAGAACTCAAGAGTTAAACTGTGTCAGAACAAATTCAGCTTGATAATGTTAGATAACTTTGATAGAAAGGTATGTAATAGATTACAATCAACCAAAAATTATTCAGACAGCTGTTAGTATGACAGTATTTACACAACTATCAATACTTAGTCGGGCAGCCCTTAGCCTTAATGACAGCCTGTAGTCTCCTGGGCATGCTGTCACCCAGCTTCATGTAAACCTGAACTTAAATTTTTTTTCCCAGACTTGGTCTGAATAATTTTTGGTCCCAAATTTGTATCAGTTTTACGGGTAGTCCACAAGAGGACAGTAGTACAGCCTAGCGCATTTCACACAGGCTG